ATTATAATACTTTTGATATTTTTTGCAATCTCATACCATCAGTGTACCATGAAAATACTATAGCACGTTCATTTCAGTACATGGTACATTTCAGTACATTCAGTACATCATCTGGCACTTTACTGTCTAACTACCCTTATGAAAATTAACCATTTTACTACAAATAAATCCAAAAAAAACATGGTAAACACAAATTAACCATGGTTTGGCTACACTAACTATAGTTTAACCATGGTATTTATAGTAAAACTGTGGTGAAACAAAAGGTAATCAATAAGCCAAAAAAAAATATTTTTAGAGTTTCTAATTCTCAAAAATCTCAAAACTTTGACAATTGTCAAATTAAGTGACATATCAGTGAAGGCCTTGGAGAAACATCATTACATTTGACCATATCAGTTGTGATGTTTTATTAATAATCATTTGCATAGATGTAGCGAGTCGTTGGTCTGGTTCTGAGATTTATGGTTCGTGAATCACGCAGTATGTGTGTGTTCTCGGGGGAGGACGGTGTTTGCACCCTAATGTCGACAGCTGACCGAAGAATTACCCATCATGCTCAGCCTGGCACTGGCTTCAGATGAAAGCTGTGGAACGAGAGCAGAGAAGAGTATGGTGCTGTTTATTTTAGGGAGCCAGAGAGGGACGACCTTGCCTTGAGTCCGAAGTGCAGTTGTACATCTATATTTACTGTGGTATGAGTCTTTGGGCCTGAACACTTTTGGAAACCCCTTGAAAACACACATGAAAACTTAGCAGCACCTCTTTTCTACTAAGAACCCTTTGCTTGGGTTTGTATTGTTTTAATTTGTTGCTAGCCAGAAATTAAGTGACAAGAATTTGTTGAATTTTATTATGGATATTTTGTCAAGTATGCATTGTATTCTCAGCATTGCCACAAGGGGCACTTTGGCCTAAATGATCAGATTTTACATTTCTAGAGATTTGAGGTGTAAAAAAAAAAAAAACACATCAAAGGAAAATATTTAAATAAGACATAAATCAACACTCAATAGCGTAACCAAATTCTAGTTATTAAATTTCTGCCTTGTGACTTTAAGGGCTCCTTGCAGCTTTCCGCCAAAATAAATGCTTGACGATTTAACGCAGGGTTATTATAGTTAACTAAACTAAAACAAAAATCAAGAAAAAAACATTAATTTAAATAAAATTAACGTTAACGTAAGTAAAATAAAATATATAAAAACGTAAACTTTTTTCAGCTAGTTCCCAATGCAACACTTTCGTTTATTTTAACTTGATATACTAAGACTATATAGATATATAAAACTATTAGAAATCACAAAAATTAACTTTAAAATAAAAATGAAAAAAAAAAAAATCGAATTCAAAATATTAATGAAAACTATAAAACTATAATAGTATCTCATTCATGCTAAAATAACACTGGTTTAATGCTTGAAAATGAAGAATTTAAGACATAAATATTAGTACTGTGATTTTACTGTTATACTGTAAAAAATGCTGTTATTTTCTTAAATATTCCATTTTATATTTTACACTGAAAGAGTATTATTACAATGTAATATTTCATTTGGTTTAATAGTTGTATATATAATATATAACGAGTGCCTCGATTGTGAAGTCCTACAATAAAGCACAGCAAACCTGGAGCGCTTTAAATGAAATGATTTTAAATCACAATTTTTATCAGAAAAATCACGTTTTTTTCCCAAATGAGAGATGTACGCTGAGATCCAAAAGCCTACACACATTTTGATTCAACATTACACAAAAATTCTTATGCTGATAATGTAATTTGTAATTGAAATATTTGTGCTAAAATAGAAGCATTTCCTCGAGTGGACTCGGACCTTTGAACACTGTATTTGCAGAAGAATGATGCAATCAGCGGAAGGTCATTGCATTTTAGCATTAGTGTGTTTGTGCAGAACGTCCTGGCAGGGACTGCAGAGAGAAATGATTGATAACTTGCTGGATCTCAAGCGGAGAGAGCCCAGAGGTTGCCAACAGTATCTGGCAGGAGCCGAGCTCCCATGTGTCTTCAAAGGTCAAAAGGTCACTAGAATAGAGGGTAATTAAACAAGACCACTTCTGATACATGCTGAGGATGATGATGGTGAGGAAGAAGCTGCTGGTGATATTCCACTCATGAGCACGACCACACAGTCTCTTTAGAGCGATATAAAACCTGGAACCACATATAAATGTTTTATGTTTTATACTCAAGATGGTCATTTCACATGCCTTTGATTTTCTAGATGTGTGTTTAAAGCGTAAGAGCCTTTGAGACCAGCGACACCAGCTGTCTGATGCTCATTGGAAATTTAATTCAGATGCTCGTCTCCTCCAAGAGAACGCCACAGACCGAACCATCATTCACTAAAGAAGATATATGTGCGTCGGTCTGTAATATTTGGAGCACACCCCAGCTCAAGGATGAAGGCGATGAAATTTTGATTAGTATTACAGCGTTGCCTGTAAATCACATCAAAGAGCACATCAGTAGTTAAGATTTAGAGCTGGTTTTTGATGCAGTTGCTGTGTATTTAGCAATGAACACTCATTACTTTTTTGAAGAGTTTTTGGTGATTTATGTGATTAGTGTCCTTTGTATTTGGACAGTACGATATTGGAAAAAAAGTTGATATTTTGATATGAAAAAATACAGAAATTTTCTGGAGGTATTGAAAAGCTATATTTGGAAATAATGAATCATTCAAAAACTATTTTGTTTGTTTTGTTATTATATAACACTTTTGGCCCAAATTGTCCTACCAAAAAGCACAGCAAACCTAGGTCTTTAATTGCATTTTTATTTTATTTTTTAAAATTGCATTTTAAATAATTTTTTTAAGAAAAAATTGCAATGTTTTTGTTGTGGAGTGTATCCGCATAGGAAAAATAATAATAAAAAAAGAACAAGTAGAATTTTATCTTATAGTGCAGTTGTAAAATTACAATACTAATATTTACATCTGAATTTGGGTTGCTTTTGTTGCAGAGCACATCTGAAAATAAATATAAAAAGCTGAAAAATTACTTTTTACTCTAAATACTTTTTATGTGACCCATCCTCTTAGATTTTAACGAAACTTTAAAAAAAACTACATTTGAGTATACTCTAACCAACTCAAATCTCTTTCAGTAACTTTAAACTGTTTTTTCCCCTCTGTCTTCACTATAAAATAATAAAATGATTTTATTGTGATTAATATTAATTAAAAAAATATTCAAAAAAATAATAAATATAATGCAATAATACTTCCCTAGTGTAAAATATAATATATATATATAATAAAATAAAATAATTAGTATTTAATAAAATAATAAAAATATTTTATTTTATAATAGGCCTACAGCTGTAAAATTGCAATAATAAAATTTACATCTGAATTTCTTAATTTTCAAATGTTAATACATCAACTATTATTTATTTTGGCAGTTTGCCGACAAATAAAGTTATGCGCTGCCATTTTCAGAGTGAAGCGCGGCACTGTGTTCATTTAGACGCATACAGTGTTTCAGCGTCTCAGAGTGCCTCGATTCACAATAAATTAACCAAGGTGCTCTGAGACATTGAAACATTGTATTGTGAGCACAATCTTCATTCTGAAACCAGCAGCGCAAACAGTATACTCATTCAAATAAATCTTTGCAATTTGGTTATTGCATTAAGCCATATCACAATATCGGTTTTGATATATCGTGCAACCACAATTTTGACACTTACAGTATTTTATAGTTTAATAGACCAGCATTAATTGGAGGGAATAGTTAGAATGGGAACTGGTATCCTCAGTTGACTAAAATGTGGCAAAATATTTAACATTAATAATTAAATGCAGATTGTGATCATTTACAGACCAGTTTTTACATGAAGCATTTCATTTAAATAATTAATAATACAATCAGGCTACATTGATCTTTAAATACAATCTTCGTCTTTTCCAGAAAGGATCTGTCTGTCCTTCATGTCCTCTTTAGACTCAATGGCCATTTTGAGTTTCTGCCAGAACGCTCGAGTATCTTCTCCAGGTTTGGGGCGCCGTAGATACGTCCGCTTCTTCACCAGCTTGCGCATTCGGTAATATGGCGAAAGCTGGTGCGCGGGAATATCCTCGAGAAAAACTAGAACCAAAACATCTTTCTGTTCATCAAAAAGTCTGAAGCTGGCCACCTGGATCTCATGCGAACACCAAACGCTCTTCAGGTAGTTGTGCGTGATCAGGCAGACGGTTTTGCGGCTGTTGTATATTGCGTCCACGATGTTGTCGATAATGGCCTTTCCTGGCTGGAAGTCTCGGTGATGAAGGCACAATCTCAAGCCGTGTTGACCCTCAAGTTTGGGCACAAGTTCTTCCAGAACCCATGGCTCTTCTTGAGCATTGTACGAAATGAAGGCGTCATATTGGAAATCCAGATGATTTAATGTTTGCTTCCTCTTTTTGTCATTGAGGAAAGCTAAAAAGAGGTAGTACGCATAGACCAGCTGCCATTTTAGAAAGTGGTAGATAAATGAAATGATTAGAGTGAGAATGACAATGGAAGAGCTGTAGACAAAGCAGCTGAAGTCATAATTCACATTGCAGGATTCAGTGTTGAAGGCCGCCAGACTCTTTCCGCTTAAAGAAAGGGGATAGCGACATTCATACATGTTCAGGTAAAGCACCTGCGTTTTATTGTTCTTGACAGCCCAGTCGATGAACCAAGCGTTACTACAGTCGCACGTGAAGCTGTTGTTTTGCAAGTCAAGCACTTTGAGTTGAGGAAGCGATTGGATGACGGTTTGGTTTATAAATTCAAGGTCATTCGTACTGGCTCGCAAGATCGTCAAACTGGAGAGATTTGCGTCGACTAAGAAGTCCAAGGACTTAAGGTGAGTCCGACCCAACGTAATCTTATTTAGGCCTGATATTGGCTGGAAAAGCCTGGACGTCAAGGCATT